GATCCAAATCTCTGAACCAATACATCCAATGCATGCATGTTCTTTTTTTCCTCCATCGATGTTAGTTTTTTTTTTTTCCCCTTCTTCGGAACGCTTGCTCTTGATAGAAGACTATATGTCATGCATAAAAGCATCCGCACTCGCAATCAGATGATCAAGCTCAAGCTCGTCAAATTCATAACCCATCTCGGTCGACAAGTTCTGGTTCTCTGCTGACCGGCCCGCATTTCTTGCCTGCGTTGAGTTATCATAACCGCCTAAGAAATTGTCAGCAGACGGAAAATGCCGCCGCGGTTGGTTTTGACCATGATTGCCAGAAGAAATTCCAGCGAGTTGATCTCGTTGTACATTCTGCATCATCATGTTGTTGTTCTGATTTTGTAGTCGTAGGAACTCGACGATTCCGGTTGGATCCACGTAAGGTTCGAGGTTTTTTTGATTCATCTCGATTTGGTTGTAGGCCAGTTGGTAATTATGAGCTTTATGCTGATAACTCTGGCGGTATTGCTGGGTCTGATCCGTGCTCAGTAGCTGCTGCATATTCTGGTTCATATCGATCTGCCGCTGTTTGGCGCTCTGGCTGATTCCTATATGCGAGTTCTGGCTCATTCTCTTCTTCGGCGCCTTGTTCGTCTTCTTCTTCATCTCTACCCGTCGCAATTGCAGGCAATGTCTCATCTCCATCTGTCTGATATTTACCGTGACTCATGTCTTCAGTTAGCGCGGGATTAACTGCAACACGACGCGTAGCACTTATAGGCGTGTTCGCCAAGGCGATTTACCTCGTCGTCGACGCGTGATTCGTTTGGTTCTCTTTGGCTAAACCTGACGGGCTTTGTTGCGTAGGAGAATTCCACTGGAACTATAGCATCCGGGTCGGTGAGTTCCAGTAGATCTTGATGAGAAGGAGACTCGACACTTGGTAATTAGTTCGAAATAAGTGTTTTTTTTTAATAAAATTTTGATATATATGATCATATCCTTATTCATTAAGGAGTGTATGTGTCTGTAGTACGTATATGTTTAGATTGACGTAAAGTCTACACTTGGGGGATTCGCTGAATATTTGATGGGGGAAACAAATTAACTTAAAAAGGGAATTTTCATAGCGCTGAAGATATACAAACTCAATAATTTAGTGGATTTACTGGAATTTAATTTTCTTGGTTAAATGTTTAGTTTATTCATATCATTTTCCATTTTACTAAAAACAAGGAAAAGAAACAATGAGGACTAGCGTCTTGTGCTAATAGGATTATGAAATATAGGGGTGGGCAAAAACCGAATTAAACTGGTTCAACCGAAAAAACCGCCCGAAAAAGCGGATCGGTTAATGGTTGACTTTAGTTGGAGGGTGGGGATGAATGGGCCAAATTAAGTTGGTTCCCCCAAGCAATTTTCCCTAGATTAAATGATACTTGTCCTTTTAGTTTGAAATCTCTGACATGAAAGCTGAAATAGTTGCAATTGGGAATGTTTTACAGTAATCTCAATAAGATTACATGTACAATGGTATCACTCTATGCTTTCATATAGAAATGGTTTCAAGCTCAATCATTCAAATTGGCTCATTTGTTTGTTTTAGA